GTGGCGTACGCTACTCAAAAAAGGCGTTGGCGTATATGCGTGTATAACACGTAACCGTTTGCTGCTAGAACTTCTGCGTCGAAACATCCCGCTTATCGCGCCGCCGGTTTGCGAGTCTAGGCGTGTGGGTTGCGGGTTTGCGAGTCTAGACGTGTGTCGTAAGCTCACCTAGTGAGACTGGTGCGTGTGCTTCTCGCGATTCCTGCAGTACAGGTCTGTAAACTGTAGAATACAACTGGCGAGGCTGCTGCGCCCACAGCCCTGACTGAGCACTCGTCGAGCCCTTTCTCTGCCGCGCGAGAAAGAACGCGTCTGCGGGTGAATGCGTCGGTGGGCGTGGTGACGTGTGAGATGTGATGTACTCGGTAAATTCAGCTCCGTCATACTGACTTGTTGCGGAGTGGATACGAACGCTCATAATGCAGTTTGCGCCAACCAACTTGTTGTTAAATAATGTTCTGATCCTTAGTGTACCACACCGCAACTAGCATAAGCTGCTCAGTACATCTTATGCAACGTTTTCAGGGTTTACCTTCTACAACGATAATTCCCCTCGGCTGCTAGCATACCCAGTCGTGCTACACGTCTTGAATAGCTTTAGGAACCTAGTAGCCATGCCATGAATGAGTCCTCTTAAGGTCAGAATCCCGATAGACAGAAAGCATTGCATGATATCTTCACATATTTTACAAAATCACTGGCATCAGCTGATGCCTAAAACCCAAGTCAGTTGCTGGAAAAAAAATCATGGAGCAACCTTAGTAGGAACGGCCCATGGGAAAACAAAGGAGGAGGAGCCTTCCCAGAGCTCATCAGCTTTTGGAGTGAGAGGCCATGGCACGCACAGCAATCCTGGTAGCAGCAGCCCACTGGAAAACCGAGGAGAATGAGGAAGCGCAAGCAGCAGTGGGCTTGGCATAGTTCAACTGACAGGGGACCGGGTGAGAAGGAGCTTGACAGACGAGCGATGCTGGCAAATCGACGCTGACAGGAGGAGCGTTGCGGACCGACGATGGTGGTGATGATGACGCACCGATGCACGCGCTATAAGCTGCTGCGCTATCCGTAACACAAGCAGAAAGCGGAGCTGCAGGAATAGGTGCAGCTGGGGAAGGGCCCACCTGAGAAGGACTCCCAGGGTGTGACCTGGCGGGAGCAGCAGTAACCGCCAAAACAGCGGCTGCATGTGAAGCAACCGGAGCAGGCGAAACTGGGGAAGGGCCCATCTGAGAAGGACTCCCAGGGTGTGACCTGGCAGGAGCAGCGGTAACCGCCAATACAGCAGATGCTGCAGGTAAAACAGGCGACGCAGGTGCAGCTGGGGGAGGGTGCACCTGCGTTTCTTCCAGCAGTCTGGTTGGGAAGCTGTGGGACCGTCTTCTGGGGCGGCACTGGCAAGAGCAGCCATGCTGGTGGTGACATTGGCTGCAGCACATGTGATAACCCTGCGTGCATTGAGGTCGTATTTGAGGCGCCTCAAAAACGACCTCAAAGCCATGCTGGTGGTGACATTGGTCACAGCACTTGTGGTACCTCTGCGCCTCCTGATCGCAATGATGCTGGCAATGGGGTTGATGCCGGTGCTGGTGCTGGTAATGCTCATTAGTATGAGATTGCCATGCATGCAGCGGCTCAGCCTGAGCTGACTGCTTTCCTCCCATCATGCGACCAGAAGGGGAAAAATGAGAGGGGGAGTAAGGGGAGGGTGGGTAACAAGTGGAGTAGCAAGCGGAAGGGGTGGAGGAGGAAGGGGAGGAGGAGGAGGAGGAGCGTCTAACCGGCCGTGCACCGGCGGTTGCTCGATTCCACATGGCCAGCCGAACCTCCAGGTTCGCAAACCGCTGATGCTGCGAAGAGGTTCGGCCGCCGAGGCTCGGGTTGGCGCCGGGTTCCAGAGTGAGATGTTGGATGCCGGCCGAGGCGGCGCTGCCGTTGCTGAGGATCGGGGAGGTTCGGCCGCCGAGGCTCGGTTCGCTGCCGCTACCGCCGCTGTCGCCGCCGCCATTGCTGCTGCTGCTGCTGCTGCTGTGATGGGGGTCACAGGTAACAGGTCCGGGAATAAAGTAGTGGTAGTGACCTCACGTGGCTGCTGCTGGTGCAGGTGTTGTTTGTGGAGCCTGTATGCCTGAAATCCCTGCGACATGGTAGGAATGGTGGTATTTGAGGCATCCACATGGCTGCTTCTGCTTCTGCTTCTGCTTCTGCTGCTGCTGCTGCTGCTGACGTCCGCAAGAGTCGACGTCATGCTGACAGCAGTTTTTTGTCTTGAATCCGGCGATCCCGAGCCTGGGATGATCCCAAGCCTGTGATCCAAGCCGGCGATCCCAAGCCTGGGCTAATGGTGTATCTGAGTTGGCAGGGACCGAGATTCACTATGATAGTAGTGAAACTGCAACGCAGCGGCAAAGCAGTTTGACCTACGTTGCTGGAGCTCAGAGGTTGGCACGTGAACGGGATTCAGAGCTGAAGAGACAGAGCTGAAGAGACGACCGTGAAAGTGTGACACTTTCAAAGAGTCAGAGATGAATGTAATAGTAATCAGTGATAAGGTATCAGCGGATCGCCTTGTCAGTGAGGATCGTTGTGGTGCCACTCCGTGTCGTGCTATCGCGGAATCTCGGTGGAAGTAGTATTACTCTCAGTTCCAGCAAAACCCGTAGTAGTGACGGTAGTACTTACTACTCAGAGCAACACTCAGATCAAGGGCTGCTATCAGTAGTAGACTAAAGTCGAAGGGAAGGTTCTCTTGCGATGATGAAATGAAATTGAGGGAATTCTGATGATCCTATATAGTTCAGCTGCGTCATTAAGGGAGGAGGGAGGTCAAGGCGTCAAAAGGTGACAGATTATGGGCTGGGGGGAAGGGGGGAGGCGGAAAGGGGGAGGTGGGGATGGGGGAAGGGGGGGAATGATTCATCCCTCGGGAGTGTTTTCCCACAGAGCCAGGGAGAAAGTGCAAAGCGACCAATCAGATCGCTTGGAAAGGGAGGGGATGTCACGGATGGGAAGATGAGCTCCCCCGGAACTGGCAGGTAGCGGCTGAGCCGCGGGGGAAGTCTTGACGCGCCTAACCGAATTCGATGGTCTTGATTGGAGAGGTTTTGTAGATAGACGCGATGACAGGCAATATTGCGGTGCGGTGGAAGGAAGATCACCGGAAGGCGACAAAACAGGCGAATGGGAAGGTGGCGAGAGGCGGCATCGCGATTCGCGTCGTTCCCAACGGTTGCGGGGGAGGGGTGAGGAGGGCGTTTGAATCGTGATTGGTGAGCCGAAAGACGGGAAAAGCCATAGAGAACACTGTTCCGCTGGCAGAGGAGGCGAGGAGACATTGAGACTTCCGAAAATTCTGTAGCAATTTGCGATGAAGACTGGCGATTACGTGACCAGGCAGCATAGGGTAATGGCTGATCTCGTCGGTTAGTAAATACGACCATTACTAAGATCAAATCCTAGTAGCTACATAGGTTTATGCCGTGCGCTGGAACTAATCAAGAACTGTGCATTACACATGGAGTTATTACAAGCCGGTGAAAAGGGAATTTCGACATACAGTTCGGAGCAATCGGTTACAATAGTGTAGCAGGCGTAGTGTACTGCACACACAATTTTGTGGCAGCGAGAGAAGGCTGTGACCACAAGCGCGCCGGTGCGAGGTAGGTGTAGAGGAACAAGGGGGAAGAGGGAGGAAATAAGAAATAAAATGTGCAAGCTACTGTACTAAGGTTGTGGCGGAGAACTGAGACAAGACGAAAGCTGCAGAGCAGATCTCCAACACAGAAAGAGGAATGCAGAATGGCAGAAATGTTGTTGTGAAGAAGCAGAATGGAGAATTTTGAAGTTTGTGGTGAGTGATAGGCATCCTAGCACAGTAAACTTGAGAGAAACAACGCATTCAGTTTGGAATTGTCTCAAACTGCCTAGACATAATCGCAGGGGTCAGGGGTAGTTCCATCCATGGGAAGTAAAAACACAGTTTTACTAAAACTTAATTCGGATGATCTTAGAAGGTTTAAATTCTTTGGAGAATCGGATACTCATACTCTATCCGTACAGAACTGGCTTGAAAGGAACTGTCTGTTTGGGGCGATATAGCGCTTTAATCTGTCGAGGCGGCTAAGTGGCCCGAACTAAAAGGTGGAACGCAGAGTTCGTAAATATTAGCCCTGGAATCTCCAGCACGGACCAGGGCTGCTCTCTCGCAGGATTCGACACCAGGAGGCGAATACCCCTTGACAGAACGGCTACACCAAGTTACAGTCTGACTGTAATTCCACTGACGCGCTGGACATTCTGTCAAGACAAGCCCACCCTTGATTGTGTCGTATCGTGTCGTGTCGTCCGTGTCATCAGGGGCTGTGGATTGGGGCGGCACGAAGAAATGCTGTGGATTCGATTCAAACGTTCGTGAAACAGTGTACGCTTGACCTGACATGGAAAATGGCGAACGTACGTGGTCTCATCACGTCCATTCGTTTCATCTTGTCCAAACCCGATACACCGTGGCCTGTGGTATGTAGTAAAATATCGGATTGTCGAATTGGAATCAGGCTGGTTGTGAATCTACGTCAGCAAGTGTAGTCAAGCCATCCTTGGCAAGCGGTTCACAACCAGTTTACCTAAAGTAACCTATCCTTCGTAATTAGTTTTCCAAAATATAAGGCAGCCACCATTGCACATGTGAGCTCCTCTAAAGAACCTGCTTCGTCTTTTGTGAGCTCCTAGGAAAATACAGTAAGTAAGCTGGCTGACCCCCCTCTAATCTCTTCAACCATATCAACCCTCTTCCTGCTATCCTCCTCCCGTCAACCTTCCGCCTCTAACCCCACCTCTCAATCCCTCCTCTTCCTCCTCTGCACCTCCCTCCTCTCCCTTCACCAGGCCTTCAATCAACATCCACATCCTCCCCAGGTTCAACCAGCCTCCCTCCCTCTCTCCCTCTGTGTCTCTTTCTTCCTCCTCCCCTCCCCTCATCTTCCATCCTGTTAACCCTCCTCCACTCACCCCTCCTCCTCCTCCTCCTCCTCCTCCGCACCCCCCTCCTCTCCCTCCACTATCCCATCCATCAAAGCATCTACATCCTCCCCCAATTCAACCAGCCTCCCTCTCAGCACCTCCACCTTCTTCTCCTCCTGCCCCAAACACACCAGCAAATCATTCAGCTCCGTCTCACTCTCCCTCTGCGCCTCCTCCCGAGCCTCCTGCCGAGCCGCCTCCACCCGCTCCTCCACTTGAGCTTCGGGCACCCCCGAGCCTGCTCCTGCCCCCGCCGAACCTCCAGCTGCGGCAGCAGCTTCGGCCGAAGCCAGGTTGGCTCGGAGGGTTTCGGTGGTGGATTGGAGGGTTTTGACCTCCCCTTCTAGTCTGAGGTTCTCCTGCTCTAGACTGTGATATGCCATTGATAGCGCCTGCAGGTCTGCCTCTTTGCCCGCTGCCACTTGCCGCACCTAGGGGGAAAGGGGGGTGAGAAGGGGAGGGGAAGGGACGGAGCGGTGGTGAGGCAATTGGTAATACCTCCCCTTTTACTGTGGAAGGCCATTGAGAGAGCTTGCAGGTCTGCCTCCTTGCCCGCTGCCACTTGCCGCACCTGGGGGGGGGGAAGGGGGGGGGAGGAGGGGAGAGGAAAGGATGGAGCGGTGGTGAGGCAATTGGTAATACCTCCCCTTCTAGTCTGAGATTCTCCTGCTCCTGCTGTGCTAGGCCATTGAGAGAGCTTGCAGGTCTGCCTCCTTTCCCGCTTCCACTTGCCGCACCTACAAGGAGCAGGAGGAGGGGGGAAAGGGGAGAGGAAGGGAGGGAGTAGTGGTTAGGCACAGGGTAACACCTCCCATTCTAGTTTGAGATTCTCCTGCTCTAGTCTGTGCTAGGCCATTGATAGCGCCTGCAGGTCCGCTTCCTTGCCTGCTGCCACTTGAAGCACCTGCGAGGGAGGGGGAAGGATAGGGGAGTCAGAGAGAGGAAGCGGAGAAGGGAGGGAGGGCAGGAACGAGCAGTGGTGAGGCAAATGGTCATGTCCCCTTCTCTAGTCTGAGGATCTCTTTCTCTAGAATGTGGTGGGCCATTGATAGAGCCTGCAGGTCTGCTAACCTGTACCAACTACCCACCGACCCAACCTCCCACCCACCCGCTACCTAACTCAGATAGACCTGTATTATACAAACACACCACATACCAACACATGCATGCCGCAGCAGCAACACCCACCCCACCTGCATCAGTTCACCCATCAATGTCTCCTGCTCCCCTCTGAGCGCCGCGACGCTTGCTTGTGTATCTGCACAACATTAATACAATAAACACCACCGTACCTGCACAACATTAATACAATAAACACCACCGTACCTGCACAAAATTAATACAATAAACACCACCGTACCTGCACAACATTAATACAATAAACACCACCGTACCTGCACAACATTAATACAATAAACACCACCGTACCTGCACAACATTAATACAATAAACACCACCGTACCTGCATTAGCTCGTTCATTAGCGTCTCCTGCTCCCCTCTGAGCGTCGCCACGCTCGCTTCTCTTATGTGAGTGTACCTATCGTAATATGCACAAACACACACCCCACACACCACCGTACCTGCATCAAGTCGTTCATTAGCGTCTCCTGCTCTCCTCTGAGTGTCGCCACGCTCGCTTCTGTACCTGCACAATACTAATACAATAAACACCACCGTACCTGCACAATACCAATACAATAAACACCACCGTACCTGCATTAAGTCGTTCATTAGCGTCTCCTGCTCCCCTCTGAGCGTTGCCACGCTTGCTTCTGCCTCTGCCAGCTGGCGTCGGGCAGCTTCCAGCTCAGCATGGGTCGGCGCCGAGCCCGTGCCGTCGGCTGACGTGGCGGCCTGTGATTGGTCGCTGGCGCCGGCACCAGAAGAGGGGGATTGCGGGGCGAGTTGCATGGCGTCCTTAGCAAGGGCCACGTTGCGACTGCGCAGGTGCTGTGCGGGTGGGGGAGAGGGTCGGGCAGGAGGGAGAAGAGAGGGAAAAAAGCGGATAGAGGGAGGTGAGATGCATGGCAGGTGCCGTAGGTGGGAGAAGAGGGGCTGTGGATGGTGGGCATGTGGCTGTGGTTGATTTTGAGGCGCCTCAAAATACACCTCACTGCTCGTTGTATTAGGAAAGAGGAGGTAAACAAGGGGAGTGCAGACGTCCATTGCAATGGCCAGATGGTGATGGGAGGTAGGAGGGCGGGCGGGGGCATGGGTATGCTTTTGAGTCGACTCAAAAGTAGGACAGCGGGCGGGGGCAAGGGAGGGACGTACCTGCAGCTCCTGATGCTGCGACGGCACCATTGCTCTCAGCCTCCCTGCATACTCCCCCTCACTCATTCACGAGTCAACTACACAAACAACAGGGGCCTAGAGCATACAGAGCATACAAGGGCTGGCAGGGAGGGACGTACCTGCAGCTCCTGATGTTGCGACGGCACCATTGCTCTCAGCCTCCCTGCATACTCCCCCTCACTCATTCACGAGTCAACTACACAAACAACAGGGGCCTAGAGCATACAGAGCATACAAGGGCTGGCAGGGAGGGACGTACCTGCAGCTCCTGATGTTGCGACGGCACCATTGCTCTCAGCCTGCCTGCATACTCCCCCTCACTCATTCACGAGTCAACTACACAAACAACAGGGGCCTAGAGCATACAGAGCATACAAGGGCTGGCAGGGAGGGACGTACCTGCAGCTACTGATGTTGCGACTGCACCATTGCTCTCAGCCTGCCTGCATACTCCCCCTCACTCATTCATGAGTCAACTACACAAACAACAGGGGCCTAGAGCATACAGAGCATACAAGGGCTGGCAGGGAGGGACGTACCTGCAGCTACTGATGTTGCGACTGCACCATTGCTCTCAGCCTCCCTGCATACTCCCCCTCACTCATTCACGAGTCAACTACACAAACAACAGGGGCCTAGAGCATACAGAGCATACAAGGGCTGGCAGGGAGGGACGTACCTGCAGCTCCTGATGTTGCGACGGCACCATTGCTCTCAGCCTCCCTGCATACACCCCCTCACTCATTCACGAGTCAACTACACAAACAACAGGGGCCTAGAGCATACAGAGCATACAAGGGCTGGCAGGGAGGGACGTACCTGCAGCTCCTGATGTTGCGACGGCACCATTGCTCTCAGCCTCCCTGCATACTCCCCCTCACTCATTCACGAGTCAACTACACAAACAACAGGGGCCTAGAGCATACAGAGCATACAAGGGCTGGCAGGGAGGGACGTACCTGCAGCTACTGATGTTGCGACGGCACCATTGCTCTCAGCCTCCCTGCATACTCCCCCTCACTCATTCACGAGTCAACTACACAAACAACAGGGGCCTAGAGCATACAGAGCATACAAGGGCTGGCAGGGAGGGACGTACCTGCAGCTCCTGATGTTGCGACGGCACCATTGCTCTCAGCCTCCCTGCATACTCCCCCTCACTCATTCACGAGTCAACTACACAAACAACAGGGGCCTAGAGCATACAGAGCATACAAGGGCTGGCAGGGAGGGACGTACCTGCAGCTCCTGATGTTGCGACTGCACCATTGCTCTCAGCCTGCCTGCATACTCCCCCTCACTCATTCACGAGTCAACTACACAAACAACAGGGGCCTAGAGCATACAGAGCATACAAGGGCTGGCAGGGAGGGACGTACCTGCAGCTCCTGATGTTGCGACGGCACCATTGCTCTCAGCCTCCCTGCATACTCCCCCTCACTCATTCACGAGTCAACTACACAAACAACAGGGGCCTAGAGCATACAGAGCATACAAGGGCTGGCAGGGAGGGACGTACCTGCAGCTACTGATGTTGCGACGGCACCATTGCTCTCAGCCTCCCTGCATACTCCCACTCACTCATTCACGAGTCAACTACACAAACAACAGGGGCCTAGAGCATACAGAGCATACAAGGGCTGGCAGGGAGGGACGTACCTGCAGCTACTGATGTTGCGACTGCACCATTGCTCTCAGCCTGCCTGCATACTCCCCCTCACTCATTCACGAGTCAACTACACAAACAACAGGGGCCTAGAGCATACAGAGCATACAAGGGCTGGCAGGGAGGGACGTACCTGCAGCTCCTGATGTTGCGACGGCACCATTGCTCTCAGCCTGCCTGCATACTCCCCCTCACTCATTCACGAGTCAACTACACAAACAACAGGGGCCTAGAGCATACAGAGCATACAAGGGCTGGCAGGGAGGGACGTACCTGCAGCTACTGATGTTGCGACTGCACCATTGCTCTCAGCCTCCCTGCATACTCCCCCTCACTCATTCACGAGTCAACTACACAAACAACAGGGGCCTAGAGCATACAGAGCATACAAGGGCTGGCAGGGAGGGACGTACCTGCAGCTCCTGATGCTGCGACGGCACCATTGCTCTCAGCCTCCCTGCATACTCCCCCTCACTCATTCACGAGTCAACTACACAAACAACAGGGGCCTAGAGCATACAGAGCATACAAGGGCTGGCAGGGAGGGACGTACCTGCAGCTCCTGATGTTGCGACGGCACCATTGCTCTCAGCCTCCCTGCATACTCCCCCTCACTCATTCACGAGTCAACTACACAAACAACAGGGGCCTAGAGCATACAGAGCATACAAGGGCTGGCAGGGAGGGACGTACCTGCAGCCCCTGATGCTGCGACGGCACCATTGCTCTCAGCCTCCCTGCATACTCCCCCTCACTCATTCACGAGTCAACTACACAAACAACAGGGGCCTAGAGCATACAGAGCATACACGGGCTGGCAGGGAGGGACGTACCTGCAGCTACTGATGCTGTGACGGCACCATTGCTCTCAGCCTCCCTGCATACTCCCCCTCACTCATTCACGAGTCAACTACACAAACAACAGGGGCCTAGAGCATACAGAGCATACAAGGGCTGGCAGGGAGGGACGTACCTGCAGCTACTGATGTTGCGACTGCACCATTGCTCTCAGCCTCCCTGCATACTCCCCCTCACTCATTCACGAGTCAACTACACAAACAACAGGGGCCTAGAGCATACAGAGCATACAAGGGCTGGCAGGGAGGGACGTACCTGCAGCTCCTGATGTTGCGACGGCACCATTGCTCTCAGCCTCCCTGCATACTCCCCCTCACTCATTCACGAGTCAACTACACAAACAACAGGGGCCTAGAGCATATAGAGCATACAAGGGCTGGCAGGGAGGGACGTACCTGTAGCTACTGATGCGGTGACGGCACCATTGCTCTCAGCCTCCCTGCGTACTCCCCTTCGCTTCCCCCCACATCCGTTAGAGAGAGAGGGTAAAGAAAGATGGTTTGAAGTGGCTACGAGAGGAGTGGAATGCGGTGGAGAGGGCAGGGAGGGACGTACCTGCAGCTCCTGATGCTGCGACTGAACCATTGCTCTCAGCCTCCCCGCGTACTCCCTGTCAATCTTTTATTCCACTAGAAAACAAGGGTAGCAATGGAGTTACATCGACCTGCAGATGGTTTCGAGGGATGGAGTGCGGTGAACCTACCTGCAGCTCCTGATGCTGAGATTGTACCATTGCTCTCAGCCTCCCCGCATACTCTCCCTCGCTCTCCCCCTCCTTCCGATTCACATCCACCGCACCCCCTCCCCCACCTTCCCCCTCCCCACCCCCGCCTCTCGGCATCGAGAACAGCTGCACCACTCTCAACCGCACTGCCTCCTCCAGCACCAGCACCGACCGAACAAACTCGCGGTCATAAAACGAAGCAATGGGCGGCTCAAAGTCCAAAATCGAAGCGCTAGAAACAGGAGGCATGCGGCTTGCTGCTGCCACAATCCCAGCAGAAGCAGAGGCAGTGGCAGAAGAGGCAGAAGCAGAGCCTACCCCACCTTCCTCTGTGATCTCACTGTGCTTTCCCCCACTGCTGCTGCCGCCCCCTCCCCCAGAACTACCTCCCCCTGCTCCCCCCGCTCCCCCATCTCCCCCCGTTCCCCCTCCCCCTCCCCCAGCAGCTGCCTCTGCAGCAGCAGTGCTTCTCGTGAGCGGCTTCGGCGCCCGCGGCCCCGCTCCCCCCGCAAGGAAGTACGGGTCCCGCTTCAAGTCCTCTATCCGGGCAAAGAAAGCAGCAAGGCCGATGCGTTGGGTGATTATATCCACCACTGTGGCTGCGTCCGTGGGACCTGTGTTGTCGTTGTAAACAACGCACGCGCCTAGGACGAGAGAGGCTAGGCCCCCTACATGCACCGCTACCCCTCCTGCTCCTCCTGCTCCTGCTCCTGCTCCTGCTGCTCCTGCTGCCTCGTCTGCCCCTCTCCCGTCCAACTCTCCTCCGCCTCCTCCGCCGCTTCGTTTCCTGTCACCTGCAGCGTCGTACCCATCGGAATACCCATCCCCGTACCCTCCCCTGCTCGATCCCCCATGTTCCTCCCCATCCTCTCCCGTACCGCCACCTGGCAGTGCAGCGGCGGCGGCGGCTGCTGCTGAGCTGGCGGCGCTGACGAGGCCGACGAGGAACGGCAGGTGGCCGGGCGGCGCGAGGAAGGCCGTGACAGCTGGCGGGCAGTCGGAGAGCCACGTCAGCAGCAGGCGGAGCAGCACGGGTTGAAGCCAGACGGCCGACGGGGAGGAGGAGGAGGAGGAAGAGGAAGAGGAGGAGGAGGAGGAGGAGGAGGACGAGGAGGAGGAGGAGGGAGTGAGAAGAGGCCGATTGGTGGTGCGAGTGCGGGTGCGAGGAGGTGGGAAGGGGAGGAGAGGGAGGGGCGGCGGCGGCAGCGAGATAACGCATGATGCGAGGCATGAGGAGCTCGGGAGGGGCGAGGGCGGAGGTGGGGATGTGCAGGGGGATGCGCAGCACTCGCTCCTTGGCAGCAGAGTTGCCGGTGAGGAGGTGCGAGAGCACACTGGCTGCACGACAGCTCCCCTCCAAAGCTTGCTCGCTCTGGCCTGCTATGAGTGCGCGCACCAAGATTCTGGTTGAGGGGGAGAAAATGGAGAAAGGAGAGACGGTTTTGACCTCCGGAAGAGGAGGGGGATGCGCAGCACTCGCTCCTTGGCTGCTGAGTTGCCCGTGAGGAGGTGCGACAACACACTTGCAGCACGACAGCTCGCCTCCAAGGCTTGCTCGCTCTGGCCTGCTATGAGTGCGCGCACCAAGATTCTGGTTGAGGGGGAGAAAATGGAGAAAGGAGAGACGGTTTTGACCTCCGGAAGAGGAGGGGGATGCGCAGCACTCGCTCCTTGGCTGCTGAGTTGCCCGTGAGGAGGTGCGACAACACACTTGCAGCACGACAGCTCGCCTCCAAGGCTTGCTCGCTCTGCCCTGCTATGAGTGCCCGGACCAAGATGCTGGTATGCCGTTGGGGAGGAAGGGAGGAGAGGGAGGAATTAAGTTGCCCGTGAGGAGGTGCGACAACAAACTTGAGGAGGTGAGAGAGAACGCTGGCTGCCCTGCAGCTCGCCTCCAAGGCTTGCAGACGAATGAGGCAGGATGGTAGGGGAGAGGTAACGCATGATGCGAGGCATGAGGAGTTCGGGAGGGGCAACTACTCTCTTGTCCTCAACCATCATCACACTCGCCCTCACCCTCCACACGCACCCTCCAAAGGTAAGATTCGCTGCGTCATCAGCTGCATCAGCCCCCATTGCACCTCCTCCTCGCTTCCCCTTGCCCGCGACGCCTTGAGGCAGCGGGGTGATGGTGGATGCTAGCATGGTCTGCCCCTCGCTGTTGCCCTGCAGGGAGAGGCCACAGGGGCCAACAAGAGAACGGGGGGGGGGGGGAGATAGGGATGGCGTGGTGCGAAACAATAACCCTGGGATGCCTTGAGGCAGAGGAGTGATGGTGGATGCTAGCATGGTCTGCCCCTCGCTGTTGCCCTGCAGGGGGGGGGAGGGGATGAGTGAATAAGGGGGGTAAGGGTGGCAAGGGCAAGGATAGGGAATGGTGATGGGGTAACTTAGTGACGCCTTGAGGGAGAGGAGTGATGGCGTGGAGGCTAGCATGGTCTGCCCCTCGCTGTTGCCCTGCAGGGGCACAAAATGGGCACAAAGGGAGTGGGGAGAATAGAGTTAGAATCCGGGGAAACAGGGAGGGGGAGTGGGGAGAATAGAGTTAGAATCCGGGGAAACAGGGAGGGGGAGTGGGGGAGCGTGGTGATGGTGGATGCTAGCATGGTCTGCCCCTCGCTGTTGCCCTGGAGGGGGGGAGACGGGCAAGGGGAGGAAAGGAGAAAACTGTTCAGGGTACCGTCCCCTTTCTACCCCTGAACCTCCCAATCTCCTTCACACGCACCTCACGGAAGCACCGAATGACATAGTCAGCAGCAGAGCTCTCCCCCATGGTACTCGCCCTCAGCGCCACCCTGTTCCCCCCCATCTCCCATTCCTCCCACACATGCAACTCACAACCCCTTTCCACCCCCACACGCACCTCACAGAAGCATCTGATGACATAGTCAGCAGCAGAGCTCTCCCTCATGGTACTCGCCCTCAGCGCCACTCTTAGCACACAGTGCAGCGCCGGCTCCATCTCCTCACCCACGCCCCTGCATCGCCTCCAGCACCTTGGTACAACCTGGTACCATGTTGCTACCTGGCATTACCTCTGAACCTTCCAATCTCGTTAAATTTAACCCCTTAATACGCACCTCACAGAAGCATCGAATAACATAGTCAGCAGCAGAGCTCTCCCTCATGGCACTCGCCCTCAGGGCCACCCGCAGCACACAGTGCAGCGCCGGCTCCATCTCCTCACCCACGCCCCTCAACAACCCCTCCTCCTCCTCCCCTTCCTCCTCCTCATCCCCTCCCCACCCACCCTCCCCTCCTCCCCCTCCCCGCCTCCCTTTCCTCGGCCCCCACCCAGCGTCCCGATACAGGAAAGTCGTCGGATCCGCCCTGCTAATCAGCTTACTGCCAAGCTCCTCCCGATTTGCAGCATGCCCCAGCACCAACCCTCCCAGAGCCTTCAACGCCTGCGTGCGAATCGCCGTGGAGTTAACCAATGGGTCAAAGGCGAGAGCTAACAGAGAATCCATCAGCTTTGCGTGGCCTAGTAAGGTTTGGTTGGCGATCAGGTTTGTGTCGTCTTTCGGAGTGGCCGCGTGGGGGTTTCGGGCGAGCAGCAGAGCGACTGTTTCGAGCCCACAGAGGAGATTTGCTGCCTTTTGCCGGGTCAGAGGCTCTGTTCTCTCCATAGTGCTGCTGCTGCTGCCACCTCCGCCGCCGCCGCCGCTGCCGCTGCTGTTGGTATTCTCGTTGCTGCTGCTGGTGGTAGTGCTGGTGCTGTTGCTGCCGGCGCCAGCGGCAGCGGTGGCGTATTTTCGGAGGGAGAGGAGCAGCGCAGGGATGCGGGACAGGCCGAGGGTTTCCCGGAGGAAGATTTGGTTCGATACGTTGGAGCGGAGGAGGTTGTTGATGAGCTCTATGCAGTCCTGCACCACGATGCCTCCATCCGCCCCTCCCTCGTCTCGAATGATGTTCAACGCCCGCTCAAAGGCGCCCTCGAATACCACTATCTTTTGGATCTCCTGTTGAGAGAGGGAGGAGGAGACAGGGGGAGAGGGGGACACGGGAGCAGGGAGAGAGGGAGAGAGAGTGAGAGAAACTGGGAGAGAGGAGAGGGGAGTGAGGGGAGCGTTGGAGCGGAGGAGGTTGTTGATGAGCTCTATGCAGTCCTGCACGACAATGCCCCCATCCGCCCCTCCCTCGCCTCGAATGATGTTGAGCGCTCGCTCGAATGCCCCCTCGAATACCACTATCTTCTGGATCAAGGCAGCTTGTGAGGTTACCCAACGCTATTGTCTCATTCCTTTTCTACACACCTCGGCAGAGCGTGTGAGGTTGATCATGAGAACGAGAGCCTCGTTGCACCCTTCCCCCCACCCTTCCAGCACAGCCCTTACCCAACGCTATTGTCTGTGCCTTCAGCCCTTCCGCTCTTGTCTCAACGCACCTCAGCGGAGCGTGTGAGATTGATCATGAGAACGAGAGCCTCGTTGCACCCTTCCCCCCACCCTTCCAGCACAGCCCTTACCCAACGCTATTGTCTCATTCCTCTTCAACGCACCTCAGCGGAGCGTGTGAGGTTGATCATGAGCACGAGTGCCTCGTTGCGAATCACCTAATCATGCCATGTGCCATGTGCCACGGAACAAGCCCGCAATTTCATGCCATGCCATGCCATGCCATGCAATGCCATGCCATGCGATGCAATGCAACCCAAGCAGCATGTCACAATCAGGCGCACGATTTCAGAACCATCCCATGCAGTAACAGTGATATTATACGTAGAGCAATTAGTTGGGACGTCTCAGAAGAAGCGTGCAAGCAACAATGCTGGTGAAAAAGGAAAGAATAACGTTGGATAAGGGTTGAAAGGGAAAGAAAGGGGGGATGGATTGGAAAGGGGGCGTGGGCGGGTGGAACAGTGAGACTGGAAACGAACATACAGCAACAGAGAGCGAAAGAATAGCGTTCAGTTAAGGGTTGGGGGGGAAGGGCTGGGGTGGACGGGCGGGTGGAAGGGAGGGGTGGAATGGGAAGGGGGCAGAGGTGGGGGGGACGGGGGCGGGTGGAACGATGAGAGTGAAAAAGAACATACAGCAACAGAGAGCGGCAATCTCACAGAAACAGAGTAGCAGTTCTGCTAGGCCAGCCTTCTCCTGGGCTATTGACCTCTCCTCTCCTCTCATCGCCTCACCTCCCTCTCATTGAGTGCCATCATATCCATGAGCCGCCCCACACCCAAAGTCCAAAAAGCTCAAGCCCCAAACCCCGAGCCCCACCTCCTACGTGCCCCACACTTTACAAGTCCCAGACGCTAAGAGTCTCATCGCCTCACTTCTTCCTTATTCAGCGCCATCATATTCATGAGCCGCCCCAAGCCACCCCAAGCCCATAGCCCCACGCCCCAAGACCAACACCCCAAGAGCCCTGCCCCGGGCCCTCTGTGGACTCTTGACCTCTCCTCTCATCGCCTCACCACTCTCTCATTCAGTGCCATCATATCCATGAACCACCCCACGCCCCACGCTCCCAGAGCCAAAAGCCCAAAGCCCAAGTGCATGAAGCCCATCGCCTGCGCCTCACCTCTCTCTCATTGAGTGCCATCATATCCATCAGCCGCCCCCAGCCCAAAAGACTGTAGCGTCAAGCCCAAAGACCCTAGCCCCACACCACATCCTTCCCACACTTCACTCATAGGGACCCCCCACACGCCCATTGCCTCACCTCTCTCTCATTGAGCGCCATCATATCCATGAGCCGCCCCACGCCCTGTGGGATCACCAATATCGCCTCCTGTAGCCTGCCATGCGCCATGCCATGCGTCATGCCATGCAACCATATCATGTCATCAAAAGACCAAACCAATCACACACCACGGGCCATGTCAGCACAAATGCCATGTCAGCACGAATGCCATGTCAGTGCACATGCATGCCAGCCCAAACGCAGGCAAGAATGTAAGATTCTCATGCAAACACACACCGGTGGGGCGTCTCAACAGGGAATGTTGGACTTGCTGTTGAGACGCCCCACCGGTGCTGAATACGAAGGCGCTGACTTGCTCATGTTTCCATGGCAAATTTTTATTGGTGTAACAAAAATAACGTCTCATCACACGATGAGGTGTCTGAGCAGGAAACCACAGGTGAGGGCACTATTAGAGGCGTCTCAAAACAGAAAGTATGTCTGCATGCCCCGGTCTCACCTGTGCGGGCAGTTGGAGAGGAGGATTGTGAGCAGCTGAACGGTGTGGTAGCGAATGTAAAAATCCTCCTCCTCCTGTTGGGAGCGCGCGATGGAGAGAGTGGGGAGGGGAGAGACGAACGACAACGAGCGGAAGAGAGGAGAGGAAGACAAAAGGATGGTGAGCAGCTGCACGGTGTGGTAGCGAATGTAGAAATCCTCCTCCTCCTGTGGAGGTGAGGGCGGGGGGAACAAGGCCAAAAGAAATAGATGGGCGGAAGGGAGGATGAGGAGCGGGGGAAGCAGGGGTGGAGAGAAGGATGGTGAGCAGCTGCACGGTGTGGTAGCGAATGTAGAAATCCTCCTCCTCCTGTAAATGTGTTTGTTCATAGAAGTGGGAGAACGGAAAACATAACAAGGAGAGGAGGAGAGGAGGATGGTGAGCAGCTGCACGGTGTGGCAGCGAATGTAAAAGTCCTCTTCCTCCTGTTGGTGACAGGCGTGTAATATTAGGAAAACGGGGAGGAGGAGAGGAAAAGTCGGTAATCAGCAGCTGTACGGTGCGGCAAGGATGCTGAGATGATCAACTTAGAGCTCGCGGGAAACGAGCTTCAAGTTGATCACCCCTGGAGCCACCCGCGGCTGCTGCTGGCGCCCTGCCACGCCAGACACCCCCCCTGCTGCCCTGCTAGGTTCCCATACTGCCACGCACCAAAATCCCCCCCCCTCCTTACAATTCCACTCACCAGCAGTGCCAGCAGCAGTGCGATGCTGTGGGGTTCACGCGCAAAGAGCTCCGATTGATCACCCCTGGCGCCACCCGCTGCTGCTGCCCTGCCCTGCTAGGCACTCCCCGCACAACCCCTAACCAACATCTCCCCCCAGTACACGGCGACTCACCAATAATGCCAACAGCAGCGCGATGCTGTGTGGCTTGCGGGCGAAAAGCTCCGAGTTGATCACCCCTGGCGCCACCCGCTGCTGCTGCCCTGCCAAGCCCCTGCCCCCTCGCTCCCCTCCCCCTCCCGCTGGCTGCCCGCCCTCCCTTGCTCGCACTCCCCTCGCCCTCGCGACTCACCAGCAGCGCCAGCAGCAGCGCGATGCTGTGGGGTTCCCGAACAAAGAGCTCCGAATTGATCACGCCTGGCGCCACCCGCTGCTGCTGCTGCCCTGCCAACCCCACCCCCCCCCACCCCGCTGCCCAGCCCACCTTCCCCCCCTGCTGTCCTGCTAAGCCCCGCGCTTCCACTCACCAGCAGTGCCAGCAGCAGTGCGATGCTGTGGGGTTCACGAGCAAAGAGCTCCGAGTTGATCACCCCTGGCGCCACCCGCTGCTGCTGCTGCTGCTGCTGCTGCTGCTGCTGCTGCTGCTGCTGCTGCTGCTGCTGCTGGCCCCACTCCCTCTGCTCCGCGCCCCCTCCTCCTGCCCCTGCTGCCAACCCTGCCACCAGCACCTCTAGCGCTCCCCGTACCTGAGAAATAAAAAAACGTTAGGAAAACAAAAAATAAAATAAAACAAGAAATAACTCAGGAATGTAGATCATCGCGGCTAGTTCTCCCCGCCCTGATGCTTCTAATGATCAGATCATCACGCCTATAGAGTCACAAAGAAGGTGATAAGGGCAGACAGAAGCATTGGGGCGGGATTGGGGATAGGGGACGGGGGATGGGGAATGAGGGATGGGGGAAGAGAATGTGTTGAGAAACATCCAAGGGAGTAAGAGGCATGTCGCAGTCATCACTCACTTGCTCTCTCATTCCCTCACACCCCTCACCTGACCACTCACTCACTCGCTTACTCGCTCACCCGCTCACGTGTTCACTCCCTTATTGACTTGTTCAGTCACTCCCCCAGTCACTCACTCCCTCCCTCCCTCACTCACTCACTCACTCACTCACTCACTCACTCACTTTCTCACTCATTCCCTCACTCACCAGGTCCACGTCTTCTCGGTCCTCCCGCAATACGGATAGCAGCACGGGTATACCTGCCACGTCACACGCACTCACACAGGCACACGCAAAAGCATGCACGCGCGCGTGTGCACACACACAGGCACACGCACACGCACACGCACACAGGCACATGCACACGCACACGCACACGCACACACAGGCACACGCACACAGGAACACGCACACGCACACACGCACACGCACACGCACACAGGCACACGCACACGGCAGGCTCAAGTGTTTGAGAGAGGAAGAAGGCGGAGACGAAGGGAAGGGGATGCAAGAATGGTGATAATGAAAGCATGTGCTTGTACATGGTCGCTCGTTATTGCACAGCAGACTTATGCGACTCCCCTTCCACGGATGTCTATGCGACGTGCTGCCTGTGCGACGTTCTGTCTGTGCGACGTTCTGCCTGTGCGACGTTCTGCCTGTGCGATGTTCTGTCTGTGCGACGTTCTGCCTGTGCGATGTTCTGTCTGTGCGACGTTCTGTCTGTGCGACGTCTGTGAGACACTCACTCACCCATGGCTCCCAGCGCCTGCTGTGCGACAGGGCTGTCCGTGACGACGTCGCGCAGGTCGGCCATGGCGGACTGGCGATCCTCTGCGAGCACTCCATTGCTGATGCGATCCAACAGCCGCTCCACTCCGCTGTTAACGCGTACAGAGTGTAGTGGGGGAATGCGTACATGCGTGCAGCGGCGAATCAGGGAGAGTCAAAACGTAAGCCAAGGAAGGTGAATACATCGGGAAAGGACGATCTAGTATACTCCATGCATAGCAGCAGGGATCTAATATCGCCATGCAAGCATGAAACTTAAGCAGACATAATCCAGGAACTAAGGGGCCAAGGAAATCAAATCGTATAGGGATCAACAATGACACAAATTCCGTCGCACGGAATCGCACGACGCGTCGCAGGTCGTCGCTTACCCGTCGTCTTCCTGGTCGTCGCCGCTCCCGAACACGAGTCCACCCACCCCCTGCGCGACGGCGCCCAGATTTAACCGACCGAGCTTGAACGACATGGCCGCTCGATGGATTTAATTACTCCGAGATTACTCGGAGAAACTCGATAACGGAGATCACCGAATCTGACACCTAGCTAAGACTAGGACCTGAATAACGCTACATACGAGTAATGTTACCCCCTCTTGATACAGTATCTCAGTATCACAGGCAAAGGCTAGAGCTGTTCAGGCTAAAGCAAAAGATGGCTGCTCGTCGCGGGATAGATAGACGGACTCTGAAACAACTCGAAACTTGATAGATAGACGGACCGGCGAAGGATACCTCAGCCTATTGTCTTGTTTCTGGAGCAAACTTCTCTGAAAAAATCGTGAAAGATCGAGCCACGTGGCTCGAAACGAGTGGGCAGGAAGTGAGCACGCAAGCTTTTGCGAGGAAACGCGCAAGCGACTGCGATCGGATAGATATTCCTCCCTTCACAACGACTATCATCCAGGAGAGCAGCGGAATATGGCAGTATTACTGTACTTCATCAACGACCACAGCAGCACAGTCGTTGCAGGAAGCTGATGAGGTGAATTATGACGGATTATGCGCGAGAATCCGAGAAAGTCCGCGATTCGCGGAGCGGCTAGGCGACAGAGTTGGGTAGCCTTGGGATTGGTGTGGAGGGGAGGAACGCGTTTGATGGGGGGGCTGCTGGGCTTAGCGCGCTTCATCAAAAACAGACCCGAGTCTAAGCGGTACGACGTCGGCCCATCATTAGGTGTAGTTATGCCTTTTATAGTAAATATCATGTTACTGGTTTCAAACGTTTATGTTCATGCTACGGGTCACAGGGTAGGTTGAAAATCTAAAAGAATATATAAATCAAATTCCACACTCAGCAACACGCTTCATTCACTCTAGGGACAATACCGTAGTAGCACCAATGTTCTTATTTGGGATGGCATGGCAGGCAGACTTGCATTGCATCCGTCCCACTGTGCCATCATGTGTGCTGATAGCCTGATTGACATCCATTGGTTTTGAGCTGGCTTGTCCTGCCTTTGTGTTGGCAGGTCCTGCACTCACACAAGCAGAGACACACTCTCTCCCATCCCAACCAACATTCCCTTTCTTCTGTTTTCCTCCCTCCACCCTTTTCTCTCCCTCCTCACCCATTCTACCCTCGCCTCGCCTCCCCGCCGCCCCTCTTCCATCATGAAAGCACCAGTTTAAGAGCATAAAGCAATACGATTATTGACTGAATGCCTAGGTTGTGCACTCTGCCAGAAAAATGAAAGCGTTTGCCATTACTGGAAAATCCACCAGTAAGCCCCTCCAACACCTCTCAACATTACGAAATTACCCCTCAAACGGTTCAAAATACTTCCTATCCAGCAAAAAGGCGCCATGGCCGAACCGAATCGCCCATGTGTCCTTCGGCCGGCGGTCCATAATCCTCCCTGCGTCCCCCACTCTGATAATCCCGTCGTTTCGCCGAAGCATCGGCATAGGTTCGGCAGACTTCACAAACGGAGGCTCGGCTACAATAACTACGGCGGTTCCACTCTGAAGCACCACGTTGCTGCTGCTACCGCTTCCTTCGCCGTCGGATCCGCTAGAAGATGCCCCGTCAGGAGCTGCCAGCGCTAAGACACGTGCGCGCACGTGGCTTGTGCAACATTGTGATTGGCCGGCGATACGAATCGAGCTGAATGGGGATGCTCCAGCCTGATGATAACTGGATGCGGACGAAATCGACGGTGAAGGTTGTCTTAGCGACGTGAGCCGTGAAGATGCCGGGAGCTGGCGAGCTGTAGCTACTGGAAAAGGAAGAGAAGTCGCCATGGCGTCAGCAACCAGCTGGGAAAAGGAAATCGCTCCTTGGGCCAAGAGTGTTGGAGCCTCGTGAAAAGGCAACCTAGTTCCCGCAGGTAATTGCACAAGTTCCCGTTACAAGGCCAAGGCGGGCTCGACAATTTTAAACTTCAACCTCTAACCAGCAATTCTGAGAAACAATAGAGAAATTAATATCAACTTCATTATCCAGAACAAGGTCTCAAAAGGCCCAAAGAGAGTATTTTAAGACAATATAGGATTTCTGGATATGATTTTGTGGAACTTGGTAGGGGGGAAATTCACTGAATTCTCTTTTACACCATATACAAGGAAAATCATAGCATTATTATATTGTATTCTGTAGCACTCTCTTATGAACACTAAATCACATTGCTGCCAAATTGCAGGCACATATCTATTGGCCAGGACGCAGCGCGTTTGCCTCGTCAACTCGGGCGACTCCGAGGCGACAGCAGGGCCACATCAGAGCCACAGCGAGCCATGCTTGGGTCAGCCCCTTCGAGCCTCCTGGCCAGCCAAGTCCCAACAGACTGTACTTTCCATACCTAACTACAGCGCTGTACTCCGTTCGACTCAAATCGCGTTGTCAGCTTGCCAAGCTGTTTCACCTTCCCCAGCCAGGCCGATTTGGTGCGCCTCGAAAGCCAGCCCCAATTTGCGGTGTGGAAGGGGCAGATTGCTATTGGGGGGTGAAATTGCACTTTCGAACGAGATGAGTGGATTGCAGCTTTGAGGAGGACCAGAGAAAGTGAGGCGCTGTTGATTCAAACACACTTTCTCCACATGATTTCCGCACACAGCTAGACAAGGCCTGTCATTTTCTAGCAGCCTTTTACAGCCTCCACGTTTCCAATTAGTGTTGCGTCTCTCGTTCGTAAGCCCTTCCGCTCTCTATCTGTGCGCGAATCGCGGCTCACAAACACTCCGCACGGAGCAGATTTTGAACTAGCAACAGCTGCAGGTGACTTTCACCTCTTCAACCAGGCCGCTCCATTAGATTCTGCATTAGCTAGTCCCTTTTTTATTACCGCAAAAATAAGCACGTCCTGGGAAAGACGAGCAACCAGGAGAGAGCGCACCAACCCCGCAAGAGTACGAGCGCAAAGTAAAGGCCGAGGCCATGGCCGCGCGCGTTCCCGCGACGCACGTCATTGGCGTTCTCCTCATCTCCCTGCTGCTCCGGCCCCAATGCTCCCATGCCCAAGGCAAGCCTCGCACCACGTATTGACTCTATTGACAACTCCCAATCGCTTTAACGCAATGTAAATGAAGGTTTTGCTCTCGTTGTCGTTTCTCCGAGCCACCGCGCATTACTCTGGAATCCACGCTTCTGCGCTTGCGCGTGTATGACTCTCTGCGCGCCCCGTCACGTGCCGCGTATGTTGCCACTGAACGCAGCAACGCATGAACGACCTACAGCACCTTCATGCCGAATTTATAACGCCTTCCCACTGACTATTCACTCAATACCAACTTCCACCCGCACGTTGTTTGTGCAGAGTCGATTAAAGGCTTCGCGCTCGCCAGGGGTGCATCAGGGGAACTGGTCCCGCAGAGTGCAACAATGTAAGGCATTAGCTCGCCACGACCTTCCGTTTCCGTCAGTTACTTCTCGCAAGCCAGTTTTTACGCAACTACGAGTTTCACGCTGGTTGCTGCCGTCCCTCACATTTTCACCACGTCGCAACCTTCATTCCCTGCGGAGTATATTGCATTTCGCGTGTTTCAATCTGTCCGAGCTCTTGCATCCCACTGAGACCAACCCTTTTCATTGAAGCAATACCACCTTGCTTTCTTCCATTCGCCATCATTCCCTTGCTTAACTTCCTCAGGGATTTCCAGGTTACATTCATCGTCCTCCCACATCCACGTCTCCCCAATTCCTTTTCGCCCACACCAGAGCCGCTGCCACGTCATCACAAGCGAACACCTTCGACCCCGCAGTGGCGGACGTTGTGACGGCGGAGGCGGCGGCGGCGGCGAAGCGGTCGCGCGCGCCGCTGCGATACAGTCGCAAGGAGGTAATCTCGTCGTTCAACAAGGCGGCACACCTCCTGCGACTCTCCGCGAATAGCTTGACACAATCGTCACCGTGAGTTCCGTTTCCCTTGAGTCGCGTTCACCGTGTGTCTCAATTTCGTGGCCCTTCTAGACTCACCCGCTCTCCCCAATACCCCTTCCTCACCTCTCCCTTCTCCTTCCCCCCGCAACCCTTCTCCCCCCATACCCCCCACCCCATCACTCCCACCACAGGCACTTTACTCGTTTGTTCACGGCGATGCAGGCGTTTCGCAACGCAGTGGCGCTAGTGGAGATGGGCAAGCGAAAGTACAACCTAGCCGAGCCGCAGATGCTTAACGGCATTCTCCTCGTGAAGCAGGAGATTCCCAAAATCGAGCCTGCACAGCTGGCTCGGGAGCTGGGTCGGCAGGTCACCGGAACTGAGAGCCAGGCTCGGAATTTTGCGGTTTCGGCGCTGAGGGTGGCTCAGAATGGGTTGACGTCGTTTGAGGTGCAGAAGAACACGAAGAGGCAGCAGGAGCTGAGAGATCAGCAACTGCAGCGGGTGCAGAAGGAAAAACAGCAAAAGCAGCAGCAGAAGCAGCAGGGGGTGCAGGGGCAAGGTGATGGTCAGTAATGGTGGCACGCCAAACCTTTATACATAACTGTGATTCCGATTTCAGGTTGGAACGAGCAGCAGGATGATTCCCAGGACCAGATGGATGGGTGGGGTTGGAATAGAAGCTCGATAATTTTGTACATTTTGTTATAGTGTTATCAGAAGCCTGTGTAGACTAATTCTGATTCAGTTGATGTTTTTTTCTTTCTATCAATAATGGATAAAGGTTTGACAATACTTGAGGAAGCTTGCAGCTGAGCTGATGCAATTTTTGACTTCCGCTATTCATACTAGCGGATAATCTGATAACGCACACCTGCAACGTCAGATCATTCTCCCAGTTGGTGCTCCACGCCACAGCCTGAGAGCCACGTTGCTCTTTCTCTGGTCTCGAATTGCCACGTGGATTCCCGAAAAGGCTTGGGGACCCTCGGATTTGTCGACCACTTCCACACGCACCTGCTGGGAGAAAGTGACCCAACCAAGCTTTTGTTCATCAGTGAGAACGATTTGGTTTTGGTCAGCCCGGTAACCGCTTGCTGGGTGTTTTGACCTGGCCTCAGGATTTCAGGGCATTTTACCCTGATTAGCCTGTTTTTCAGGGTCGTTTTTAGGAACCACGCTGTAAATACAGGATTCAGGGTTCTCCCACCCTGTCACGATCAGGCCTCCTGAAAATTTGACCCTTGTTTTGCAGCAGTTGGTTCTTGTAGCACACTGCCTCGGCCGAGTTGGGTAGTGGCAGCACTCTGAGTGTTTTTTCCCGTAACCATTCGAAAACTGGCTAAAGTCCTTTCCACAGAGACACTCACACATACACCAGAACAAGCATCTGTGCTCGAAAACTGGCTAAGTCCTTTCCACGGAGATACTCACACAGATTGGACCGCTGCAGCCTAGTTTATTATTTCACCCTGCCATACCAGGCCTGAAATTTTCTAACACCCTGCCATTTCTAGGGTACTATGCGGACGGCCGCGCTGCAGTGGCAGTGTTACTTCGACCTGAAACTTTGATCTAACAGGGTGGGCCAAAACGAATCAAGACCCCTGGTTTTGACCCTGTTGGGTTGAGAAACTCTCCCTTCCTGCACAGATCACCCGAACTAAAAATCAGCGCAAATACTTTTCACTCTGCCCAGCTTTCGAACCCATGCCTGCCAGTGTAAAGGCAATGTATGACGAGCTGATCTGCTATCTACCTTCTCACAGGTGCGTAGCGGTTAAGAACGGTGCACGCTACTTACCATGCTTTACCGAAGGAAAAAGGCTGCCTTGATTCCATCCTTGCCCCAAGAGCTCCCTTGGGAACTCCACTCCACACATTCCGCACCTTATTTCCTGCGAAGACCAGCAGCTCAGCCTGTTTCTGTCAGCAGAATGGCTGCAGTGTTGCGCGGATAAATGTTATACGTATCTCATTGTCTGCGTTACTGCGGGTTCGACGTCGATTCGCGATCGTTACTTCGCCTTCGCGCTTCGCGCTTCTGCAGTCGTGGCTTTTCTTAGAAGCGTGTTGCGTGTAACTCGTTTTCGGGAGTTTCGAGTAACCGCGTCGCGATGGCGAGCACGGCAGCTTGCGCTGCGTCTTTAGTTCGCCCTTATGGGCCCAGCAAAGTTTTTTATCACAGCCGCTCACTCAGTACCGACACGTCAGCACACGCCTTATCTGCGTCAGCCAGCCAAATTCACAGACATTCGATCTCTTATAGGAAAGGTGCTTGCAGCGCGTGTCCCAATGGCGGGACTGCGAACTCCAGGCCTACTCCGTTTAAAACTCCCCTAATTCCGTCCACACATTTAGTGTCGGTAGGCTCTAGGAGGCTTTTGGCAACAGGCGAGCCGCTTACCACTAGGTTCGAACCACGTAGGTCGCGGACCGTTAGTCCGAGGCGCACGCAACTGGCGACCCGAGCAGCCGTAGACACGTCACCTCCTTCCACCAGCCTCCGTGGCAGCAGCAGCAGCAACCGCCGGCCACGTGGCATCCCCACCGGCGGTAATGGCGCCGCAATTTCCGCCAACGGATCAGCCACGCGATTCGCGTCGGGAGCGGCACAACAGCAGCCGCAGAAGCGACCGTTGGAACGATCGAAAGACCGAATCTTCGAGGAAGATCCGGCGGAAGAAGCGGCCGCCGCGCGCCGCGCGATCGGCGCGCCGCTGTACGACGCGCAGGGACTCGCGAAATTCTACTCGAAGCGACCGTTAGAGGTAGTCGGTCGAGCGCTGCGCGTCACCACAGCTCTCGGCGCCGTCGCCGTCGCTGTCGTCCCTTTCCAATCCACTAGGCTCTCCGCCTCCTGCGCCCCCCCATCCCAATCACTCATTACCCACATTTCCCAACTCCCCTCTTCCCTACAGGTAGTCGGTCGAGCGCTGCGCGTCACGACAGCGCTCGGCTCGGTCGCCGTCTCCGTCCTGATCGACCGGCAGCGCGGCCAGCTAGACGCCAACATGCCGCGCCGAGCCTCGCAGCTTCGGCGCGCGCTGACGAGCCTCGGCCCCACGTTCGTGAAGCTAGGCCAGGCGCTCTCCACCCGCCCGGACCTGTGCCCGCCGGCTTATTTGGACGAGCTGGCGCTGCTGCAGGACGCGCTGCCGACGTTTCCCGATGCAGAGGCGTTTGCGTGCATAGAGGGCGAGCTGGGTCGTCCGATGGAGGCCATGTTTGAGTCCATTAGCCCGTCGCCCATCGCTGCCGCTAGTCTTGGTCAGGTGAGCCCCACCCCTTCCAGGCTCGGGCCGGTGAGGCCCCATCCCTATGTGGCGTTTGCGTGCATAGAGGGCAAGGTGGGTCGACCCATGGAGGCCATGTTTGAGTCCATCAGCCCCTCTCCAATTGCTGCAGCTAGCCCCTCACTTTCTCGCTTTCTGGGAGAAGGTGCAGCACCCGACCAACGCAACAGCCATCGGGCACCCTCTTCCTCTCTCTTCCCCCTGCAGGTGTACAAGGCACGCCTGATCAGCTTCGTGACCAAAGTGACAGTGAAGGTGAAGTTCCCGCCCAGGGATCACAACAGCCATCGGGCTCCCTTCTCCCTCTTCCTTCTTCTGCTCGCTCCCTGACGCTCCCCCTTGCAGGTCTACAAGGCGCGTTTGAGCAGATCTTTCACAGGGGTGGCAGTGAAGGTGCGTGCCCGACCAGGCATCACAACAGCCATCGGGCTCCCTTCTCCCTCTTCCTTCTTCTGCTCGCTCCCTGACGCTCCCCCTTGCAGGTCTACAAGGCGCGTTTGAGCAGATCTTTCACAGGGGTGGCAGTGAAGGTGCGTGCCCGACCAGGCATCACAACAGCCATCGGGCTCCCTTCTCCCTCTTCCTTCTTCTGCTCGCTCCCTGACGCTCCCCCTTGCAGGTCTACAAGGCGCGTTTGAGCAGATCTTTCACCGGGGTGGCAGTGAAGGTGCAGTGCCCGACCAGGCATCACAACAGCCATCGGGCTCCCTTAGCCCTCTTCCTTCTTCTGCTCGCTCCCTGACGCTCCCCCTTGCAGGTCTACAAGGCGCGTTTGAGCTGATCTTTCACAGGGGTGGCAGTGAAGGTGCGTGCCCGACCAGGCATCACAACAGCCATCGGGCTCCCTTCTCCCTCTTCCTTCTTCTGCTCGCTCCCTGACGCTCCCCCTTGCAGGTCTACAAGGCGCGTTTGAGCAGATCTTTCACAGGGGTGGCAGTGAAGGTGCGTGCCCGACCAGGCATCACAACAGCCATCGGGCTCCATTCTCCCTCTTCCTTCTTCTGCTCGCTCCCTGACGCTCCCCCTTGCAGGTCTACAAGGCGCGTTTGAGCAGATCTTTCACAGGGGTGGCAGTGAAGGTGCAGTGCCCGACCAGGCATCACAACAGCCATCGGGCTCCCTTCTCCCTCTTCCTTCTTCTGCTCGCTCCCTGACGCTCCCCCTTGCAGGTCTACAAGGCGCGTTTGAGCAGATCTTTCACAGGGGTGGCAGTGAAGGTGCAGTGCCCGACCAGGCATCACAACAGCCATCGGGTCGGGCTCCCTTCTCCCCCTCCTCTCTTCTTTCCATCCACTGCCACTCCAGGTTTACAAGGCACGCCTGATAGGCTGCACGGAAGTGGCAGTGAAGGTGCAGTGCCCGACCAGGCATCACAACAGCCATCGGGTCGGGCTCCCTTCTCCCCCTCCTCTCTTCTTTCCATCCACTGCCACTCCAGGTTTACAAGGCACGCCTGATAGGCGGCACGGAAGTGGCAGTGAAGGTGCAGCGACCAGGCATCACAACAGCTATTGGGCTGGACTTTCTGCTCATCAGGGGGCTGTGCTCGCTCATCGATAAATACGTTGATTCTCTTACAACCAGTGTAAGTGCGGTGTGGTTCAGTGCGGTTTAGTGCACTGCAGTGTGATGCAGTGCAGTACTGTGCGGTGCAGTGCATGTATAGCACTTGCCCGGGCATCACAACAGCCATCGGGCTGGACTTTCTTCTCATCAGGGGGCTGTGCTCGCTCGTCGATAAATACGTTGATTCTCTTACAACCAGTGTAAGTAGAGAGCGGTTAAGTGCGGTGCATTGTGGTACTGTGCAGTGCCGTGCGTGCATGTATAGCCACCCTCCCCCTCTCCTGGGCATCACAACAGCCATCGGGCTGGACTTTCTGCTCATCAGGGGGCTCTGCTCGCTGGTGTAATTGCAATGCAGTGAGTACTGTGTGTGTGCTTGATCTGAACATTCACATCGCCTTTCCCCTTTTCCCCCTCTGTTTCCCCCCCCCCCCGTCTCCTCCCCCTGCACCCTGCCAGTCTGTGGCGCTTCTAGACGAGTTCGCAGACAGGGTATACCAGGAGGTATGTGGCTCTATTCTTCTTCTCCTTCTTCTTCTTCCTCCCATTCTTGAGAATTTAAAGAATGGTTCCAACAGGGTTTTCTCGGACTTTAGTGACTCAAGTCTGATTTCCTCACTTTCATCCTCCCATAAGCTTCGGCCTCCCCGCTTCCTGGTCAGATCTGATCAGTTTCGCACTTGTAAGCAGTCTCTCTAAATGCCCTGCTTTCTCACCCCAACCCCACCTTAACCCACCCTACCCCACTTTGTCCCACCCCACCTCATTCCATCCCACATCGTCCCACTTCACCCCACCTCACCCCACCCCACCCCGCCTCGCTCCTCCCCACTCCTCCATCTCAGCTAAACTACGTGCAAGAGGCTCGCAATGCGCGGCGCTTTCGGCAGCTGTATGGCGACCAGAACGGGGTGTATGTGCCGCAGGTGAGCGGTGGAGAGGGGTGAAGAGGGATAAGAAGGGGTGCGTGGTTGCATCATGTATGAGTTGACTCAACAGTCATTCTGGCAGCTGTATGGCAACCAGAACGGGGTGTATGTGCCGCAGGTGAGGGGTTGAGAGTGGTGGAAAGTGATGGAGGGGGATGGCCAGGTGTGGATGAGTCGCTTTCGGCAGCTGTGGTGATTAGAATGGAGTGTACGTGCCGCAGGTGAGATGGGGAGGTGGAAGGGGTGGAAAGGGATGAATTAGAGTTTGGGAGATGGAGGGTGCGAAGCTTACGCAGCTGTATGCCAATCAGCAGTACATGGTGTATGTTTTGAGCCCAACCACCCTAACCACTCCCGTTCCGTCTTCATCCCACAGGGATGGAAGCACGCTCCCAGATGGCAGAAACACCCACCCACCTGCTTGTAATGAGTCGATTTTTAAGTCGACTTAAAAATCCACCCACCCACCTGCTCTGCTCTCTTATAACAATCCAACCCTGCCATCCACCCTTCTTGGCACAGATTGTGTGGCGCAACTGCAACACATCATGCCGCGTACTGTGCATGGAGTGGGAGTATGGGGTGAAGCCGTGGGGAGCGATGTTAGTAGTAGCTGCTTGCACACCTATGTGCCCTGCATGTTATTGCAACCCCTCTCTCCCCACACAGATTGTGTGGCGCAACCACAACACATCGTGCCGAGTACTGTGCATGGAGTGGGAGGATGGGGTGAAGCTGAGCTGACCAGAGAGATGCTGGTTGTGTGTTGTATGTGCTTACATATCTATATGCCATGTGTGTACCTGCTCCTCTCCCCGCACAGATTGTGTGGCGCAACCACAACACATCGTGCCGCGTACTGTGCATGGAGTGGGTGGATGGGGTCAAGCTGAGGGGAGCAAGAAGCACACACCTAGACTCATGCACATACATACCCTACCACCCACCACCCACCACACCACCCACCCACCCCACTCCCTCCCTGCCCCGTCTCCTTCCCCTAATCCCTCAGATCGTGTGGCGCAACACGTCGTGCCGCGTGCTGTGCATGGAGTGGGTGGATGGGGTGAAGCTGAGCGATGCAGCGAGCATGCGGCAGAATAACCTTGACGTGATTGACCTCGTGGACATCGGGATACAGTGCTCTCTACGGCAGTTGCTAGAGTGAGTTCAGTGCGGTTGAGTGCAGTTGAGTGCGGTTGACTTGTGTTGACTCGTTTGGAGCTGAGCTGAGCGATGCAGCGAGCATGAGGCAGAACAACTTAGACGTCATTGACTTGGTTGACATCGGCATTCAGTGCTCTTTGAGGCAACTGTTGGAGTGAGTTGAGTGCGGTTGAGTGCGGTTAAGTGTGGTTGGGTGCGGTTGAGTGCGTTTGACTGGTGTTGACTTGCCTGCCTGTGGTGTGGAGCTGAGAGCATGAGGCAGAATAACCTTGACGTGATTGACCTCGTGGACATCGGGATACAGTGCTCCCTGAGACAGTTGCTAGAGTGAGTTGACTCCCGTTGATTTGTGCTGACTCGTGTTGACTTGCTTGACTTGCTTGACTTCAGCTGAGAAATGTGCTTCTAACGTCTTCCTGCTTCAACCATCCCTCCTCCTTCCCAACTGTTTCACCCCTGCCAAACCCTCATCACTAATCACCCTTCACCCCTCTTCACCACTCTCCACCGCACAGGTTTGGCTACTTCCATGCGGATCCCCATCCAGGCAACCTTCTTGCCATGTCTGACGGCCGATTGGCCTTCCTTGACTTCGGTGCGTGATATTGGAATGGACACTCACTCACTCACTCACTCACTCATTCACTCACTCACTCACTCACTCACTCGCTCACTCACTCTCTCACCCACTCCTGGGTTCGTTCCTTGGCTCGTTGCCTCTCTGTGCCTCTTTGCTCCGCACCGAGCCTCTCTGCACCGCTTTACACCTCAAGGATGCGAGTTCATGCCCTGCTTGCTTTGTCTTGTGCGCGATTTGCCACTAAAGCCATGTAATTGCCCCACCCCCCCTTACCGCACAGCATCGCATCGTACCTCATGTTGCCTCTGTCCAACCGCATTGCACCGCACTGCACCCTCAACAGGCATGATGAGTGAGACGCCCCCCCGAGCCCGATTCGCCATCATAGGCCACGTGGTGCATCTGGTGAACCGAGATTATGAAGCGATGGCTCGTGATTACTACGGTGAGAAGATACGCTTGTAGGGGAGACGCTTGTAACGGGTACATGCATGCACTACTGTAAAAGCTTTGATTCGCCATCATAGGCCACGTGGTGCATCTGGTGAACCGAGATTATGAGGCCATGGCACGGGATTATTATGGTAAGAGAGGATATGCCTGTATCAGAGATGCTTGTAACCGGTGCGTGTGTTGCATTGCAAGGCCTTGTGTCGCCATCATAGGCCACGTGGTGCAATTTGTAAACCGGGACTACGTGGCCATGGCTCGCGATTACTACAGTAAGAGGATAGGCTTGTAATAGCAAGTATAAATGCTTTTCGCCATCATAGGCCTTGTGACTAATATATAGCCATTTCCCCTTTCTTCCCTCTCCCTGCAAACCAAACCAGAGCTCGACCTCCCAGACCCCTCAGTGGACGTGGCGCCCATAGTGCCTTCCTCTCCTTCACTCGCGTGCTCTCTTCCCTCGACTTCTCCCCTCCCCCCTCTTCCCCCCCTCCTCCCCCTCTCCGCCCTCCCACCCTCAGAGCTCGACCTCCCAGACCCCTCAGTGGACGTGGCGCCCATAGTGCCCTGTCTTCTGCGCACCCAGCATGTTCCCAACATTGCCTTCTCCCCCATCCACCACGCCTCTCCCCCTTCCCCCACCAGAGCTAGACCTCCTAGACCCCTCAGTGGACGTGGCGGCCATAGTGCCTTCCTCTCCTTTACTCACGTGCTGTCTCCCCTCCCCTCGCCATCCCCCTTTCCCCCTCTCTCCGCCCTCCCACCACCAGAGCTCGACTTTCTAGACCCGTCAGTGGACGTGGCGCCCATAGTGCTTCTGCGTATCCGCCTCTCTCCCACCGTTGCCTCCTCCTGTTGCCCCCTCTCTCCTTGCCCTTCTGCCCTCTCTCCGCCCTCCCACCACCAGAGCTCGACTTCCCAGACCCGTCAGTGGACGTGGCGCCCATAGTGCCTTCTGCGCACCCAGCAGCACCCTCCCACCATTGCCTGCACAGTCCCTGCTGCCATTTGCCTCCCCTCTCCCCCTTTCCCCCACCAAAGCTCGACTTTCTAGACCCCTCAGTGGACGTGGCGCCCATAGTGCCTTCCTCTCCTTTGCTCCCGTACTCTCCCCCTTGCCTCCCCTCACCGGCATGACTCTCCCTCTCCCCATCCTCCTCCAGAGCTGGACTTTTTAGACCCCTCAGTGGACGTGGCGCCCATAGTGCCGGCTTTAAGAGGATTCTTTGACGACGTGCTGCAGGTGAGGAGAGGGGCGCGGATTGGGTACGGTGGGGTGGGGTGGGGTAGGGTGGGGGGGGGTGGATGGACATGGGCTCAAGTGACCCTTCAGTGGACGTGGCGCCCATAGTGCCCGCTCTAAGAGGCTTCTTTGATGACGTGCTGCAGGTGGGTTGATGGGGGGGTATGGATGGGCACGGGTGTGAGGGTGGGGGGGGCATGGGTGCGGGCATGAGTGTGGGGATGGCGGAGGGGCGTGGGTGTGACCCCTCAGTGCATGGCGCCCATAGTGCCGGTGCTAAGAGGCATGAGGGATAGGTGTGCCATGTCTGCTCAGTGCATGTGGCGCCCATAGTGCAAGCTTCAAGGGGCTTCTTTTATGACGTGCTGCAGGTGGGGTGGGGGATGGGGTGGGGAGGGTGGCCCCATGATATGCTGTGCAATTGACCTTGCAATCTGTCAGCCATGTGGACTGCTGCAGTCTAGAAGCGCGACTTCGCCGTGAGGAGCGCGATGGGGTGGGGAGGCTCGCCCCATGATATGCTCTGCATCTGCAGTTGACCTTGCAATCTGTATTCTGACGTCCCCCTAGCAGGGGGGCGCTGCTAGTGGGAAATTGTTTGCTAACGCATGCCATATTCCCCTACACTCACCATCAATGCCTATCTCATTTTCTCTTCCCATCAGGCAACTGTGAGCGAGCTCAATTTCAAAACCATAGTGGATGGGCTGGGAGCAGTGCTCTATCAGTATCCCTTCAATGGTGAGTGATTTGCTGGTATAACCTCTAAAAGGTGAGTGATTTGCATATTTACCTGTTGGGTGATCATAATGATGGTGACTATTTTGCTTATGCACCCCTTCCAAGATTACTAATTTTCCTGTATGCCTTATCACTGCACCACTTTTCGCCCCACTGTCCCCTTCCCCCACGCAGTCCCAGCCTATTATGCACTCATCCTTCGCTCCCTCACGGTGCTTGAAGGCTTGGCACTCTATTCGGATCCCAATTTCAAGGTGAGCACCTCTTCAGTCGCCTCTTAGGATTGGCCCTCTTCCTCAAAGTTAACAGTGCTCCTCTTACAGTGACTCAGAGGGCTGCTCTCACGACGGTTTTCTCCGTTGGTCGCGCCTCCAGAGCCTCCTGACTCTAATCGAGCTTCTTTTCAAAGACGGGGTGTTCCGCTGGTCGCGCCTCGAGAACCAACCTCCTCACGCAGGGGCAGCGCGACCACTGCTGTTTGCCTCCTTCCCCATCCTCCCTGCTGCTCTCTTATCCCTCTCTCACCCAACCCCTCCCTCAGGTGCTCGCAGCAGCATACCCCTACATGGCAAAGCGCCTTCTCACCGACCCAAACCCCTACCTGCGGGACGCCCTAACTGAGCTGCTCTTCATTCCTCCCTGCTGCTGCCTTTCCCTCGTGCACTCACCCACCCATCCCACTGGTACTCGCAGCAGCATACCCCTACATGGCAAAGCGTCTTCTCACCGACCCAAGCCCCTACCTTCGTGATTGAACTTCTCTTCAAAGACGGCGTTTTCCGCTGGTCGCGCCTCGAGAATGTACTAGCCCAGGGGCAGAACGACCGCGGACAAGACCAGTCAGGGGCACAGAGACCGCTGTTGCCTCCCCTGCGTCGTTCTCCCCTAATCCCGTGCCGCTGTTTTCCCCTGTGTGCTCGTCTTCTCCCAACAGGTGCTCGCAGCGGCCTATCCCTACATGGCAAAGCGTCTTCTCACCGACCCAAACCCCTACCTTCGTGACGCCCTAATCGAACTCCTTTTCAAAGATGGCGTGTTCCGCTGGTCACGCCTTGAGAATCTACTAGCCCAGGGGCAAAAGGACCGCGACTACAAGACAACCGATGCCCTCCAGCCTTTAATGGCCCTCATCCTAGGCCCTGAGGGAAAGCCTCTTAGAGCTCTGGTGGTGGCTGAAGGGGTGAGGGTAGCAGAGGCTTTGCTGGTGGCCGGGGCTGTGGATGGGGCGTTGGAGGTGTTACCAGATGCGGTTACCACCGCGCTGCTTCCCCGGCCGCTGGTGCCGTTAAGGGAGGCATTAGAGGCAGCGAGAGGGGGGGTTGGGGGTGCGGGTGGGGGTGCGGGAGGGAGTGCGGGGGTGGGGAGGGGAGCGGGGAGGGGGGATGCGAGGGGGAGGAGTATGGAGGAGATGGTTGAGTTGAGAGCGCAGGTGCTGCGGTGCTGGGCGTTGCTGAGGACTTCGGATGGGTTCGACCCGGCAAGCCTGCTTCCCCTCGTTGATGTGAGTGCTGTGCTGTTGTTGTGCTGTGGTGAATTGTTGATGTGGTGATGTAAGAATGAGGGAGTATGCGGGAGTATGGAGAAATTGGTGGAGTTGAGGGCTCAGGTGCTGCGGTGCTGGGCGTTGCTGAGGACTTCGGATGGGTTCAACCCGGCAAGCCTGCTTCCGCTTGTGGATGTGAGTTTCTATGGTGATGCTGTGGTGCTGTGTTCAAATAACTTATTGATGTGGTTGTGAGTGTGAGGGAGGAGTATGGAGGAGATGGTGGAGCTGAGAGCGCAGGTGCTGCGGTGCTGGGCTCTGCTGAGGTGTTCAGATGGGTTCGACCCGGCAAGCCTGCTGCCATTGGTTGATGCGAGTGCTGTCTTGAATGGTGTGGTAAGCAATTACTGTGGTGATGTAGATATGAGTGAGTATGGAGGGGGGTGGAGTTGACAGCTCAGGTGCTGCGGTGCTGGGCGTTGCTGAGGAGTTCGGATGGGTTTGACCCGTCGAGCCTGCTTCCACTGGTTGAATTGAGTGCTATTGAATGTTGATGTGGTGATGTAAGTATGGAATGAGGAGGTGAGGGAGATGGGATTGGACTTTGCTACAGGCTCACTCCAGATACCAGACACTCATGTTTCTCGTCCTGATTTTTACCCAAAACCCATCCCAACCGCTTGCTACCTCTCAGGTGCTGCAACAGGAGGAGGTGAGGGAGATGGGGTCGGACTTTGCTACAGGCTTGCTGCATCGACTGGCAGCTGTTTTACTCTATTCAAGCCCCATCTCAACCGCTTGTCACCCCTCTGTTATCCTGCAGGTGCTGCAACAAGAGGAGGTGAGGGAGATGGGGTCGGACTTTGCTACAGGCTTGCTGCAGAGACTGGCAGCGCGCTCGCTACAGCTGCTGCTACAACCACCACCTTCCTCACAGGCTCCTGCAGCAGCAGCAGCAGCAGCAGCACTGTTAGGCAGCACTCAAAGCCTATGAGTCCGCTCGCTACAGCTGCTGCTACAACCTCCTCCTTCCTCCCAGGCCCCTGCTGCTGCAGCAGCAGCAGCAGCTCTCTAGCACTGTTATCCAGCGCTCGCTTTTGAGTCTGCTCGCTACAGCTGCGGCTACAACTAGTGCCTTTCCCCAGCCCATACCCCTGCACCTGCACCAGCGCTGTAGGCTCTGCAAGCCAGCTTTTGAGTGCAACTATATTCCAGGCTATACTGCCTGCTTCGGCAGCTTTAGGTGTCATGGGTTATGGCAGAATTGTTTGGAGCATATAATCTGAATTTGAGCTCCTCGATGTTGGGCTGAGAAAAGCCCTTAGGATCTTTGCGGGGGTAAAACTCCGGTAGGACTATGTAATAGCGGATTCGTATTAGTGGAGAATTTGTGAACCACCTTGCGCTGGTATGTGAGGGCAAAGTAAGTTGATTATAGCAAAGGGATACAAGAATATATAGAAGATTACAAGGAATACGAAAGGATATAGTTGTAACTACTTTTGCTGTTGCGGTTCGATACAGTGACGACTCGGGCAACTGCTCTGTAACGAGTCAGTTGTGTGTCCTTGCTGTCGCGCTGCACTTGTCAGGTCAAAGGTCGCTTGACCTTTGACTTTCGCGTAACCTCCAGCAACCTCTTTTAACCTCCGAGGGTTGACTCGCGGGTGCTTCGATATGGCGTGCTTCGCTTCTGGTGTGGTGTTTCGACACGACAGAGGCGTTTACAATTTATTGTTTCCAACACTCCCCTTCGCTTCTGGAGTGTCGCTCTTGATGACGTGGCTTTGTCCAGTCAGCAACATGCAGTACTCGAATTTCTGCTTCCCGAGCTTCTTGGTCAAATAGTCGGCTGCCATCTCGGACGTGGGACAGTATGACAGTTCGAGTCTCCCTTTCTCGATCTCGTCTTTCACGAAGAAATAGCGCAGGGCGATGTGTTTCGTCCTGTTCGCGAAGCCGTTCTTGTTGGCAATGCGGATTGCCGACTGGTTGTCGCAGAACAGTGTGAAGTTGGGTAACTCGGCTAACTTCGCTTCTTCCAGCAGCTCGCGAAGGTAAAGGCCTTCCTTGGTGGCTGAGCAGAGTGCTATATATTCTGCTTCGGCCGATGAGAGGGCAATTAATTCCTGCTTACTCGATTGCCAGGAGATAGGACCGATGGGTTCGAGACGATAGATGTAGCCGGTGCGTGAGCGTCTGTTGTCGGAGTCGCCGGCGTGATCGGCGTCGACGTAGCCGATAAGTTTAGTTGGTGCGGTTGCGTTTTTGTGATACGTTAACCCGATCTTCGGGGTGCTGACGAGGTAGTTAAGAGCGCGATCGAGTTCTGCTAGATGTTCTGCTTCAGGTTTCTTGAGGTGGGTGGCGAGCTGGCTTGCAGAGTACGATAGGTCAGGACGGCAGGTGACGGCTGCGAAGAGGAGACACCCTAGCTTTCTCTGGTAGTCACGTATTCCGGCGGGCTTGAGTAGAGCGGGGTTTCCCGTGCTGTTTCCTGTTGTGTAGCGGTAGGGCGTGGAGATGGCGGTTGGTGTGAGAGCGAAGCGTTTGGCGATGGTGTCGGCATATTTCGCGGCGTTGAGGTAGATCGCGTCTTCTTCTTCTCGGATGTTTAGGCCGAGGTACTGTGTGACGGTAGGTGAGACTGTGAGAGTGAGGTCCTTCTGCAGTTCCCCTTCGAACCAGGAGGTGACGTTGTCAGTCGAGCCGATGTAGAGTAAATCGTCTACGTAGACGATTAGGAGGATGTAGTCTGTACCCTTCGTGAGCCGATACATTCCCTGATCGTGCGGTAGCTGCTTGAAGCCGATGCGAACGAGTCGGGCGTGCAGGTACTGTTGCCACAGTCGTGGGGCTTGTTTGATGCCGTAGAGCGATTTGAGTAGTTGACAGACGTGTGTGGAGTCCGTGCTGGAGCCGTGTGGTAGCTCCACGAAGATCTCTGCGTCAACAGGTGCGTAGAGAAAGGCGTTTGCGACATCGATTTGTCGTAGCTTTTTCTTCTTCATGGCGGCGATCGCGAGGAGAATGCGTAGTGAGGTGTGTCGGCTGACCGGAGCAAAGGTTTCGGTGAAGTCGCGTCCGTGTTCTTGGTCGAAGCCGCGTACGACCCAGCGCGCCTTGAATTTGTCGATGGTGCCATCTGCTTTCGTCTTCACGCGGAAGACCCATTTTCCGGTGAGAATGGTCTTGTTTCGTGCTACGCCGATAGGAACGATTTTCCAGGTGTTGCGTTCTTCTAGCGCTTTCAGCTCCTTGTCCATGGCTTCACGCCATTTTTCCCTGTGCTCCCCCCCAGAGCCTGCTGAAACGTTGCAGGCTCCTTAGGAATGGTGGCGCCGTGGACTGCGGTGACGAGCCCGAGTATCTGGAGTCCACTCTGTGTGTAGCGGGGGAGTGTGGTGTCCTCGGGATAGACTGCCTCGTCTCCAGCTTCTGGATCAGGTGCGAAGTTGGGCCCTATGCGTTCTGCTTCGTTGGTGTTGACTTCAGCAGGTGTAACGTAACCGTTGTCGGCGAAGTGGTAGTAGGTTTCGGCGTTGACGCTTTCGCGAGGGTTATCTTCGTCCATCGGTACGTCCACTGAGCAGTAGGGGAGAGGTCCGGCTTCTTCCGAGGCTCCTTCCACGTTCTGCTCGTCCCAGTCAGCTTCGTCTCCTGCCGAAGCGAAGGCTCGATCGCCACGGAAGCCACCTGTGGGGTCTCGATTTTCGTCCAGGTTGGCAAGGTATGTTGGCAGTGTGAGCCGCTCGTAGAAAATGACATCACGTGCTGCTACTGTTTCCTTGGTGTGGATGTCGAAGATTTTCCACGCGTTGTAATGTTTTTCGATGCCCAGGTGTAGTCCCCACTGTGCGCGTTGGGAGAATCGGCCGGCTCGTGCAGATGGGGGTCGGTACTGTACCATGCAGCCGAAGACTCGTAACATTTTTGTGCTGCCCAGTTTCCCTGTCCACAGCAGATGCGGTGATGTGTTGTTCGGGAGTGACGACGAAGAAAGCAAGTTGTGCAGCATCACGGCGTGGTCCATTGCTTCAGGCCACTGGTGGTTGGGTAGCCGCATGCCACGTAACAGTTTGCGCATGGTGTTCTGCAGAGTCCTGTTCATCCTTTCTGCTACACCCTGCTGTTGATGGGCGTAGGGAAGGGAGATGAGTCTCTTGATTCCCTTCTCCGCCAGATACTGCTTGAACCGCTGTGACGAGTATTCTCCTCCTCCGTCTGATTGAAAACTTTTGAGCTTAGCTCCTGATTCCCGTTCTGCTGCTGGAAGCCATGCCACGAAAGCCTCGAAAGCCATGTCGCGACTTGGTAAGTTTAGGTGCCAGACGTAACGTGTAGCGGCGTCGATGAAGGTGATGGTGTAGTTATACGCGTTTTGTCCGGGTTCGCGGTTGTACAAGATGTCGCTGTACACTTTCTCGAGTGGTGAATATGCAGGTGCGCTTGGGTTGTGATGCGAGACGAAGGGCTGATGCGGTAAGTCAGCTTCGGGGCAGGTGAAGCACGTTCCTCGGGCTCGCTGAAGTTCTCTGCCGTCGATCAGTAAGAGTGAATCCTTGTCAAGTACTCCAGCTCTTATCGTGTTGTTTAATGCTGTGTTGCTTGGGTGTCCCATTCTTGCGTGCCAGGTTTCTTCGTTGGCGCGGTGTCCTGGCGAGCGTCGGTACATGTCGGAGTTGGAGTAGAAGCCGGCGATGATGTTCGCGCTTCTGTGAACTTCCCGTGGTGCCGGGTTGAGCTGCTGCGCCGGTGTTGGCGGCGTCTCGTCGATGGAGGGCTGTGCCGTTGAGGGACCGGCGACTGGTGTTGATGTTTCTGCTGCTGCTGCTTTTGTCTGTGCTGCTGTCGATGTTGTTTCTGCTGCTGTCGATGTTGTCTCTGCTGCTGCCAATGTTGTCTCTGCTGCTGCCGATGTTGTCTCCGCTGCTGCTGATGTTGTCTCTGCTGCTGCCGATGTTGTCTCTGCTGCTGCCGACTGCTGAATTGTCGCCAGCGCCCTTGTTCTTTCTGTTTCAGGGATGGTGTGTGAGTACCAGAAGCCGCTCGGGCTGAAGTCTGGATCAAGATCTGGAGGATGTGTCCAGTCAGTGAAGTTGACGATGGCGTCGCTGTCGGCCGTTCCGAGATCGGGGACGAAGTCAAGAACGAAGACGTTGTTCTTGAGAACCGCCTTGCCGATGTAGAGACCTCCTCTCCCGTGGTACAGCTTGAATTCCTGGGTTGTGCTGTCTGCTTCAAGGTGAATGCCTTTCGCCATCAGTTGACTGACGCTGAGTAAGTTGTAGCCGAGGCCTTCTGCAATTAAAACCTTGGACATCTGTAGAATGACGTTCGTTTCTCGTGACTGAAGTTGAACAACTCCTTG